TTTTTATCCTGTATTTCCACCATGATGTTGACTAAGTATAAATGCATTTTTACTTCTTTAGCTTGAGATTCTTTGACATTTCGGAGCTGAGGGCAGAAGTTTCTATCAATTCTGGAAAATGTTTACTTATCCTTACAAATATTACTCTTCTCCATTCTCCCTTATCTTTTCCTGTAAATCTTTCTGGCTTTCCTTAATTAGGTTTTCTGGTTTTCTCTGACATAATTTCCAGTTTACTGCTCTGTCTCTAGCTGTATCTAGTCTTCTATTAATCTCATTCTTCTTAGAATGTTCTTATTTTTCATATATATGTTGCTAAAATTTTCAATCTATTATTTTATACCCTTAAATATAATAAGCAGAGTGGATTTTTCTCATAACATGCATTAATATTTTCCAAAACTAAAGCCCTTGCAGATGTTTGTCTAATATTTCTGTTGGATCTTGCTCATTGAGTCTTGTTCCCTAAATTGTTACATTTAGCTGTGCTTATTGTATTTGAAAAAATTATTTCTAGAAATAACTGCCTCAATATAATATCTGTCTTCATATATAATTCCATTTTCTATCAGGCATCCCAGAAATTCTAGCGGTCAGGCACCATCTTAATCAGAGTTGAAGGACTGAGGAATTTGGGCACCTTTAGATGACCTGAAGCTGAATGGAAGTTCTTATGAGTGTTGGTGTACTTCTGGTTTATCCTTAATCCTAGGAGATGATTCTTCAGGACCCCGGCCCCAAGTGGAGGGTGGGGGTTGGGGAGTTAGCAGGATTTTTACTCTTGGTAGGCCATGGACTTCCACTTTGGTCCATTTAACCTATGAGGCCACCAAAAAGAACATATCAGGCTCTCAGCCATTTCTTCTTGATTGATGTATGCTCCTAGCACAACAGACAGCCTTGATTCTACTTGTATCTTTCAAGGCCTCCATCCTCTCTCAAATATCGGTCTGATCATTTTTCACTATTGTTAGCCCTTTGGTCCCTTTAAGATAAAAATTTTAAAATAAGCCAGCTTGTCTTAGGTTAAATAATCATATATGAATTACCTAGTTTACTATAAATACTGAGTGAAATAGATTGGGTAGGATGTACTGGTTTGGTCTATAATCTTTGACATAATTTACCATCATTAATTTTGTCTAGAGAGGTTACTTATCCAAGATAACACAAAGAGCTAGTAGTAATATCAGGCAAAAACTCAAGTCTCCTAACTGCCTGCCTGAATGTTTTTTCCCTTACTAGCAGATTAGTGTCTGTCATTTTAGATGTTCAATAAATATTTATTGAATTAAAGAATCAACATATTTATGTAACGTAGATTGATATACTATTCTATAACATGAACAATGCTAAACAGCATTCGTTGTTACCATTTATATGCTTCTTAAAAAAACAACGTGAAATTCTCTTCTGAGTGGCACTCATTGGTTTTATATTTAGGGAAAACAGTCAGCAGGATCCTATTCTGCTTTTTATTTACTCTGCCAAAGTGTTAATTACTTCCTTGGCTTCCTAATTTTAAGCCTAGAAGAAGAGTTTCCTTAAATGAAAATATAATTATCCAAGTTCTAGGTTATAACATTGAACTAGATGCTGTACAGAACAAATTTTAAAAATTAGCCTTATGTATGTTTAATATGAGCCTAAATCAACCCCATTGCTACATTTTACTCTTCAAAAATAAGTTATATTTAAAATTCTCTGGGGAATGGACATCCCTGTATCATTTTCATTTTTAGAGGTAAGTCATTTTTTTTTAATCACAGGGACTACCATCTTCTGCCTAGAATTCAAAAATTGGAAAGGTCGTCTTTTTCACACTAACAATGAAGAAAAAGCAGTGCCAACTATAAAATCGTACATTTTCTTGAACCCATCAGAGATGTGAGGTTTCAAAATAATTAGCAAGCCTGAAGTCTTCAGAAAAATAGGCACTTCCAAGGTGAGATGTGGCACAACCATTGACTCATCCGTGGCAGAGCAAAGGAGGAAGATGGAGCTGGCATACAAGTGGCTAAAAAGATTTTAGCTAAAATATTTAATGATTTGCTGAAGGCCAAGTGAAGGCTAGCATGAGATTATAGAACCCCTGAGAGCTGCAAACACAAAGCAAGACTGCATATACTTGAATAAACTTCTCCTGAGACTTCACCAGGTGTGAGCAGAGCAGATTATCTGAGAAAGCATCCCTCAGTGGTTTAAAACAATCGATGTGATGCACCAAACTGGAAACACCTAGATATAAATCTGACAAAACATATGCAAGATATGCATGCCAAAAAGCATAAAACACTGATAATGGTAATCAAAGAAGACCTTAATTAAGTACAGAGAGCTATATCACGTTTATAAATTATAAGTCTCAACATTGTTAAGATGGCAATTCTAACAATACTGATCTATAGATTCAACGAACTCAGCAAAGCAAGAATCAAATTTCCAGCAAAGATTTTCCTCAAAATCAGCAAGTTGATTCTAAAAACTTATATAAAAATTCAAAGGAATTAGAAGAGCAAAAAATGCATTCTTTGAAAAAGAATAAAATTGGAAGACACATTTTACCTGATTCCAATAATTATTATAAAGTTATACAAATCAAGAAAATGTGGCATTGGAGGAAAGATAGAAGCATAAATCTATGGCACAGAATAGAGTCCTAACATAGACCCACACTTATTTGGTTAATTCATAGTTAAAGAAGTAGTTTTTCGAGCAATTTTACACTCACAACAAAATTGAGAGGAAAGTACAGAGATTTCCTATAAATTCCCTTTCTGCACACATGCATACCCTCCACCGTTATCATCACTCATTAGAGTGGTACATTTGTTACCAAGGATGAACCTACATTGACACATTATAATCACACAAAGCCCACAGTCTACCTTAGAGTTCACTGTTGGTGCTGTACATTCTATGGGTTTGGACAAATGTATAATGACATGAATCCATCATTATGGTATCATATAGAATATTTGCACTGCCCTAAAAATCCTCCGTGTTCTGCCTATTCATCCCTTCTCTTATCCCCCGACCCCTGGCAACCACTGGTCTTTTTATTGCCTCCATAGCTCTGCCTTTTCCAGAATATCATATAGCTGAAATCATGCAGTAGCCTTCTCAAATTGGCTCTTTTTACTTATTAATATATATTGAAGTTTCTTCCATGCCTTTTTATGGCTTGTTATCTCATATCTTTCTAGCACTAAATAACATTCCATTGTCCGGAGGTACCACCATTTATTTATCTATTCACCTACTAAAGGACATCTTGGGTTCTTCCAAGTTTTGGCAATTATGAACAAAGCTGCTATAAACATCCATGTGCGGGGTTTTGTGTCTTCAACTCCTTTGTGTAAATACCAAGGAGCAGGATAACTAGTTTGTATGGTAAGAGTATGTTTAGTTTCATAAAATAAATTGCCAAACTGTCCTCCAAAGTGGCTGTACCATTTTGCATTCCCACCAGCAGTAAGTGGGAGTTTCTGTTGCTCCATACCCTTACTAGCATTTGTTGTCAGTATTCTGGATTATGGCCATTCTAATAGGTGTGTTGTTTTAATTTGCATTTCCCTGATGACATATGATGTGGAGCATCTTTCATATACTTACTTGCCAGCTGTATATCTTCTTTGGTGAGGTGTCTGTTAAAGTTTTTTACCCTTTTCTTTATTTTTTTTTTCTTATTGTTGAGTTTTAAGAGTTCTCTAGATGTAACTTTTGCAAATATTTTCCCAAGTTCGAGGCTTGTCTTCTCATTCTTTTCACATTGTCT